GAACGCGTCGATGTGGTCGCCCGGGTCTTCATCGTCAGGATCCACGGTTGGTGCTGAGTACAGACCTATATCGATCAGGACGAGCTTCGAGTCGCTGGCGGGCATGATTGGCCGTGACAGGCTGTCAGGAGAGGCCACTACTTCGCAGGCAAGACGGCCAAGGACGATGGTCACCGAGGCTGCTGAGTTGGAACCAAATGTGCCGGTGACGAGGACGGCTGAGCTCGAGAGCAGGAGCTCAAGGACGCTATTGCCGACGAATGCATTTCGGTAGGAATTGGCGTTGACTGTAATGGTTTTGATATCCCGTGGTGTTTCTGGATTGCAATGGCGCGAATCAATTCAGGTTGGGTTGGTACAGTCCGTCCTGACGATGAAGTGTCCAGCGGGTGAGGTTACCTACAGCGTGAACCGTCCGTTAACCTGCTCTGTTGATCAGCCTGCTCTGTTGATCAGCCTGCTCTGTTGATCAGCCTGCTCTGTTGATCAGCCTGCTCTGTTGATCAGCCTGCTCTGTTGATTGGCAGCTTGTTGATTGACTTTCTTATTGGTTGACCTGCTGCTTCGAATGACTTGCTGATCTGCAGGGACGTTCTCCGCCGACGTCCACGCATCGGTGCTGAAGCTGAACACGCCCAGTTCCATGCCATCACGTGCTGACTCAGCACCACGCCTCGGTCGCCCTGCCAACAATCATCACCAGTCAACACCACAGCTCCAGCTCCCACTTCAAACAGCACCCAAGGCCGCCTACATCCCCACGACGCATCGGCCACAACCCTCCAGACCATCTCGACAAGCTCGAAAACGCGCCGACAAGATGACATCCACGATGGATGCACCACCTCCCAGAACGTCGAACCTGTTCCAGGTCTACCTCCGCCTCCGTCCAGCAGGCCCAGGCACCTCTGCGCCCGACCGCTTCCTGTCTGTCGAGTGCGATGAGGGAGAGGAGCATCCCTCGCACATCATCCTCAACCCACCCAACGACCGCAAGCGCTCCACTGAAAAGTTCGCCTTCACCCAGGTCTTCGAGGAGGACGCAACGCAGCTGGATATCTTCCAATGCACAGGCGTCGCGCCCCTCATCGAAGGCGTTCTCGCACCCCACGGCGGAGAGGGCACTGACGCCCTGCTGGCGACCTTGGGCGTCACCGGCTCCGGCAAGGTAGGTGACCGTCGCGGCGCCATGTACGCCCGGCTGACGTGAACCTGACAGACGCACACCATCCTCGGCTCGCGCTCGCAGCGCGGCCTCACCCAGCTAGCCCTCGATGTCATCTTCCGGTCCATCGGCTACAACATGCTCGACAGCAGCACCTTTGCCGACGTCGATGCCTCCCTGCAGGCCTCTGACGTTTCCGAGGCGACCCTTGTGTCCGCCCCCGGCTTCCTCGAGACTGTCTACGCAGACTTTGCCGGTCCCTCGCGCGCCGGCTCCCGTGCCGCGACGCCCATGGTAGTGAGCATCCCCGATGATTTTCTAGAGTTTGACACCGCCCAGCATCGCCAGCCACTGCAGATCTTGCCGCAGGGCCCCGGTCCCAGGAGCGTCCGCGCCGTGCCCTCCACCCCGAACTCTCGAGGACGATGCCTCGACGAGCCTCGGACGGAGAGCCGCCGTGCGGTCACGCCCCCGAGACAGACGGACCACGGCGAAGAGAGGCACTACATGGCCTTGACCACGGCTTGCAAGAAGAAGAAGACAATGACTAAGACTCCTCTCAAGGGCGACTACGCTCCTCCCCCGACACCGAGGAGACACCTCCACCGACCCTCTGCCGCGCCGCAGCACCCCGACGTCAGCGCCGTGAACGTCTCCTCCGACCCCGATGCCGAGTACGCTGTCGTGCTGTCCATGTATGAAGTGTACAACGACAAGATCTACGACCTCCTGACGCCGCCTATTCGATCCAACGCGACAAAGGAATACAGGCGGCGGCCGCTGCTGTTCAAGTCGACAGAGCAGAGTACCGACAGAAAGGTTGTTGCTGGTCTCAAGAAAGTTGTGTGCACCAGTCTAAGGGAGGCGATCATGGTCCTCGAAGCCGGTCTTCATGAGAGGCAGGTAGCGGGTACTGGAAGCAACAGCGTGTCGTCTCGCAGCCACGGCTTCTTCTGCGTCGAGGTCAGGAAGCGCCAGCGCGGCCGCAGGTCGGCCAAGTGGACCGGCAGCACGTTCACTATCGTCGATCTGGCGGGCAGCGAGAGGGCGCGCGACGCAAAGACACAGGGCAGTACCCTGGCCGAGGCCGGCAAGATCAACGAGAGTCTGATGTACCTAGGCCAATGCCTCCAGGCGCAAAGCGGCTCCGGAAATGCAAGCAAAGTAAGTTGTCGTCACCCAGCTCGAAAGTCACTGCTAACCTGTCACAGCCTAGCGTCATGCCCTTCAGACAGTGCAAGATGACAGAGCTCTTGTTCAGCAACTCCTTCTCCACAACATCCTCGTCGTACACGGCGAGCGTGATACCCAGGCGGAACGCCCAGCGCGGCGTCATGATCGTGACGGCGGATGCTCATGGCGATGTCAACGCGACATCCCAGATCCTCCGGTACAGCGCTCTCGCAAGAGAGGTCACGATTCCACGTATTCCCAGCATCACCTCCACACTTCTCGCAGACACGCCCAGCAGTGGCCCGCCATCTGCAGGCCTGTCGCCGAACCCCTCGACACAGTCAAGATCGTACTTTGCTCACCCGACAACCGCACATCGCAACATCTCGCCCAACGGCTCAGGCGACGGCGACCGCATGCTTATGGAGCACGCCGCCCTCGAGATCGCCCGCATGCAGGAAGAGATCAACAACCTGCACCAGGAAATCGACCACGAACGCGACGCCCGCGTCACAGCCGAGGCGCACCTCCTCAGCATGGAGGACCGGCTTCTCGATCTCGAGCAGACAATCCGCGAGGACTGCGCCGCCGAGTACGAGGCCCGCTACGAGCTCGAGGTCGCCCGCTGGAAGGCAAGCATGGCCGTGCAGCAGGAGCGCGGGGAGGAGCACTTCGACCGCAAGCTCGAGCTCTTCGAGCGCGGCCTGGCTGTCACGGGCGACGATGACGACTCGGGCGAGGACAAGGAGAATGTGCTCGTGGAGAACCTCGAGGAGGAGAACGACCGTCTGCGCCGCGAGCTGATGATTCTCAAGCGCGAGCTGGCCAACCGCAGCCCCTCGAAGCGCAAGCCCCTGCACGAGCGCGAGGACTTTGGCAGCGGTGGCGGCAGTGGACGCAATGCCGATGTGGCGACGAGTCTTGGTCGTAAGATGGAGCAGCTACGCGTCAGTGCCGCGAGCGCGACGTCGAGCGTAGGTAGCTCGGGGAGCCCAAAGAAGATGAGGAAGCTGGGCAAGCGGTGGGAGGATACTGCTGATGATGGGCTGTGAGAGAGAGGTGCTGGGTCTTTTGATGGATGAGGCGGGCGCACAGGATACCCTGATTTTTGTTTCGGCGCATGAGGCGCAAAATGGACTTGAGCTTGGCTGCTGGCTTTCTGAGTGAGAAAATATCATAAGAGTTTCACTGCAGAAGTGCTTTACTTGCTGTCCGCAAACTTCCTCTCGCTGAACTCGCGCATCTGAGCTTTCTCCTGGGCCGGAGGGATGACACTTGCTGTGGTGCTGCGCGGTGCCGGATCGAGGTCGTGTTTGTTCCAAGTCATACGTATCCAATCTGTAGGAGCGAGAAAACACAGTCGCTTCTCATTAAGGCTATGCTCGTCCTATGCGACGCGGCACGCACCCGAGGGAAGTACATGAGCCAGTAGATGCCGCAATTCCGCAAGATCACTCGTCTAAGATCGCGCTGACCGTGTCATATTGAGCACTTTTCATCGCCAAGGTGAGTAAGCGGCTCCTAGCAAGGGGCGTAATACATGACCTTGACGCTGCTGTTTGTTCCCTCGAGCTTCTGGTCATGGTTGATGGGCCATCGGCTGCCACCTTTGGCGTCCGGCCTACTGGTATCAATACTTGTGTCACATCGCTGGAACGTGGTACACCTCTCAAGGGGCGACGCGTGTAGAACAACCCCCCGGCCTCGAGCGAACACATGCCTCCGGAGGGTTTTCTGGCTCAACGCTAAGAAAGACTTTAGGTAGGAGGCGATCCGTGCCCTACGGCCCCGGATCAGGTGTCATTCTCTATGATCCTAATTGCCGGTGTTTTTTTTGAATCATTCAATGTTGGAGGAAGTGTGCGCCATCAAGGTGGTGGCACCCGGATTTGGTGGTCTTTGGCCATCATCGTGGCAGAATGAAATGAACCCTTCGCCTGGTCAACCGCGAAATTCACATGGAAAACTGTCCCTCTCAGCTCGCCCATCATCGAAACACAAAATCCACAGAAACAGACAAGTAGATAGAAGTCTGCTAGCAATATTGGAACGACTGGGCCTGAAATGGCGATGACTTTCTGTGGCATCTCTCAGCGTCACAGTGTGCCTCATGTGAGAAAAGGGGCAACCGAGAGGGGCGCTCCGCAGGCGAAACTGACACAGGGTACGTTTCCGAATGGCGTTAACATCGAGCGCCTCGTTGGCTCAGTGGTAAAGCGCATCACTAGTAATGATGAGATCACTGGTTCGATTCCAGTACGAGGCATGCGCCAGGAGATTCAGAGTCTCCAACAATCTTTTGTTTTTAGAAGTTCACCACACAGCCGAATAGGAGAGCGAGAACCAAACCACCACACGACGGCTGATGCTGCCTTTGTGCTGTGCCCGTCCTTTTGCTCCGTTCAGTTGGAACATCGTCGCCAGTGCTTGGATGATGGGGAGCACTCAGAATTGAGCATCGTTACTTCTGAGATCGTAATACTGACATCGGCACATCCACCAAGACTAATAACTGTCGAACAATGCATACCAACCTCCCACGCCCATAACCGTGACTCCATCACCACCATATGTGCTCCCACCACTCCCCATTCACTTCCACACCACCAAAAAGCAAAAATACAATCGTAAGCTCCCTCCGAAGAAGGAACGTCAGGAATTGAGCCCGACGTGGGGGTCGAACCCACAACCTTGAGATGTGAACTCGTTTTAAGAGTCTCACGCTCTACCGATTGAGCTAGCCGGGCAGGCTTCGCTACGCGTTTGATGGATGCTGGAGGCGTCGGGGGAGTTGATATGTGGATGTGTGGTGTGTAAAGCCTCTGAAATTTTTCATGCCTCGTGGCGTGTGGTTGGTGATGAAAAAAATTCGCGGATGGGGACCCGACCCAGAAACTCGGTGTGGGCGGGGACAACTTTGGCTGGGGCGTTCCCTGAAAGTTAGGCGGGCCCCTGAATCAGTGGGACAAAGGCCCAGACTGTGACACGCCAGAAATAGATCAATCACAGATGGACCTTCACATGCACTTCCACGCGGGACATGCTTTGAAGAGGTCGGCTCATGTCAACCTTCCAATGGACATTCATACAATGGGAATGGATGCTTGCTATTCGTTGCATCCAATCGCTGTTCCGTCAGTCGGGTCGCTGGCGCGCATCTATCCTCCTGCGCACGACTTCAACCCCACCAGAACGACTCGCTCGCTACCTGTGGCTGCGTGACTCCTCGCTACACCCTTCAGCTGGCCAGACGACCAGATCTGGTGACCGCAGTGGCCGTCAGTCCCATGGACGCCCTCACCCTGCGGACCATGTCTGCCCAATTCATCTCCTAGACGCGCCGCCGGAGGGCTGCCACTCTGTCCGCTTCATCCTCTGCCTCCTCCCATGAGTCCAACTAGGAGCCCCGAGACGAGAAAGGGGCGCCCACTCCGATGATGGGGCTGCCGATCTGGCCCACCGGCCGCCGAGGCGTAGGGATCTCGCTTGCCGGCTCCGGCACCCAGCGGATGACTCGATCGGGTCCTGGGCCTACCAGCCGGATCTGGAACGACCCTCCGCCGTTCTGCGGCGTGCCCTCCGTCTCCGCGAGGTCGAGCAGCTCCGAGTCGGTTATCAAGCCAGCAGACCGCGTCGTCCGGTTCATCTTGTCCACTTCAGCCATGACCGCCGAGAGGCTGATGAAGGCGTCGACGCCCTCCTTGCTGTGGCTCTGGAGCTCCTTGCAGGCGAGGCAAAGCATAAGACGCATGGCCACAGTCCTCGAGTGGCCAGACTGCCGGAACATGCTCATGGCAGAGACGCCGGGCGGCATCGGCACCGGGGCCACAAGCGATGCTATTGGCGTGCCCCAGTTAGCTGCCGCCGTCGCCTGCGATCCTATGCCTGGCGCACCGAACGGAGGGAAGGGACCCGGCACTGGCGACCGCCACGGGTCGTTCTGCAGCGGGATGCCACCGTCGAATCCGAATGGACCACCCAGGAAGGCCGGACGCGGAACAGCGCCAGGGGCCTGGTGTCGCGGAAGGCTTGAAGGTCCCATCGGCATTGGCGGTTCCTCGGAGCCATCCAGCAACGCGCTGCTACCGAGGAGCTGGCTCGTCGTTTCGTCCTTGTGGCTGGACCCATGCGAGGCGACGCTGGCACGGCCGTTCGGGATCGGCCTGCCAATAGGCTGAGATGGACCGGGAGAGCCGACGTCGAAGCCTCCCGACGACTGCCGGCCGTGCTGCGTGCCCGGAGGCGGTCCGCCTATCGGAATTGGCTCTGCACCAAACGGCTGACCGAAGCCCGGCGGCGGCGGGAAGCCCCGACCGCCTCCGTTGAAGCCGGGAGGGATCTGCATGCCGGGCGGTGGGCGCATACCCATCTGTGGGAAACCTGGATCGAACGGCATGGGCCGCTGGCCAAGACCGGGGGGCAGGTTGCCGAAACCCGGAGGCTGCGGCATGCCCGGCGGCATGTGGAACGGACTGGCGTGGCCCATGGGACCCTGCGTGTTGGGCGGCGAGGCGGACTGGGAGTGTGGCACGAGGCTCGGGAGGATGCCGCCGTTCTTGTGCGACTGCAGGAAGGGGTGATGGGCGGGGTGCGACGGCGTGGCCGAGTGAGGAGACGGGTTCTGGCTGTGAAGTGATCCTGGCTGAGACGCCTGCGAGCCGGTAGCGCTCGTCTCCTGCGACGCCCCTGCGTTCTTCGCGGTGCGCATTGGCGTCGGCGCCTTGGGCAGCGAGGGCGTCGCCACGGGGACTTTCGGTGATGCAAACGTGGCGGGGTTCGGCGGGTGTTGAGGAAGCACAGCCGCTTGGCCGGGAGCCACCGGCTGCGACGCCCGTCTCGTTGTCTGGAGAGGTGTCGGGACGGCTGCTGGCGGAGGTGCCGGCGAGGCAACGGCCGAGGCGGCTGCCGCTGCCGCTGCTGTCGCGGCGGCGGCCTTTTCCTCCTTCGCGCGATCCCGGGCTTCCTTATCGGCCTTGGCCTTGGTCTCCCGCTCGGCCTTGAGCTTGGCGTCCTTGTTCCGCTTGTCCTGATCCTGCCTCTCCTTCTTCTCCCGCAGCTCCTTCTCCTTCTGCTCTCGAGACTCCTTCTCGCGCAGGCGCGCCTCATCCTTGAGCCTCTTCTCCTTGTCGCGGGCGTCGCGGGCCTTGCGCTCTTGCTCAGCCCGCTTCTCCTGCTGTTCGGTGATGCGCCGTTGGCGCTCAGCCTCTTTCCGTAGACGTTCCTCTTCTTCGATGCGCTTCTGTTCTTCCTTCTTACGGCGTTTCTCTTCAGCACGGAGCTTCTGCTCCTCAGCGCGTCGTCGTTGTTCGTCCAGCCGGGCCGCCTCCTCAGCCGCCTTCTCGGCCTCCTTACGGGCGCGTTCCTCGGCTTGTTGCTGCTTTTTGAGGGCGGCCTTGTCCTTGCGCTTCTGGGCGTCCTTGGCCTTCTTCGCCCTGCGCTGCTCATCGAGCCTGTCCTCTTCGGCGAGCTCTTCTAGGAGTTGATCTTGGCGTTGCTTAGCGACCATGTTACGATACGCCGTCAGCACCCGCTGCTCAAACATGCGTGCGGCGAAGATTTGAAACATGCGCCGGCCCTCCTCCATGCGTTGTTCCTCGCTCATAGCAGTCTCTTGGTGCAGAGAGCAGAGGTGCTCCGTGTCGGGGTGGCCGTGGTCGTGAGTGTGGTGTGAAGAGCTGGCCTCCTCATCCTCGTACTCGTCGTCCTGGCTGTCGTATTCCTCGTCCTCCTCCTCGTCTTCATCGAACTCCTCATCGATGTGCGGGTGGTTGACGTAAGAGCCGTTGACGGGGTGGATGTAGCCATGCGCCATGTGCTCCCTGGCGTCCTCCTCCCTGGCCATGCGCCGCTCGGCGAGCTGCTCCATCATTTCGATGAACCGCTTGCCGTCGTTTTTGAGCAGATCATCAGCAACGGTGAGTATACCGCCTAAGTCCATGTTACCATATCTGCTTAGCAAAAGGTCGAGGAGCTTCATACCCTTGACTTGCAAGCTGTTTCCGAACGTCAGAAAGTCTGCGGGATGCGGCCGGCGGTGTCCTGGGGGCTCATGCTCGTGCTCGTGCTCATGGTCATGGCGATGATCGTGGTCGTGCTCATGGTCGTGGTCGTGGTCGTGCCCGTCGACGCTAGAGTCGGGGCGCGAGTCGTCGTCTTCAAAGTCCGCCTCGCTGTAGTCCACGTACTCCTCGTTGTCGTCCTCGTCGTCGCTGACATGCTCGACGATGCGCCCTCTCGAGGGTGGTTGGTGGTTCAGAGGCGGCAGCCGCGAGCTCCGGCTGGGGAAGTCGCGGTGCAGGCCCTGGCCCTCGGGGTGGTTGGCGAAGGATTCAAGCTCTTCGTAGTATGCGTCGTAGAGGCCCTCCAACTCCTCCTCGATGGCGATCCGTTTGCGGCCGCAGACGGTGCAGCTGCAGGTGTGCTTCTGCTGCTCCTTCATCTTTCTAAGGACGGCATCCTTCTCGACCTTGACAAGAGACTTGCGGTCCTCTTCTCCCAGGCCGAGCCAGAATTCCTTGATCCTCTCCCGTTCTTGCTGCGAGCTCGTGTTCCAGATCTTTTCCTTGGAGAAGCCGGGGCCGACTGGGGCGGACGGCGCTTCATCGTTCGGCAGCGAGTCAGCGTTGGCCGTGGCGTGAGCGCCCTTCTTCTTCTTCTTTTTGGACTTCTTGGACCTGTTTGACGTGACGCCGTTGGGCTCATCCTCGTATCCGTCGTCGTCGCGAGTAGGATCGGCTTCGTCGTACTGGTCGTCTTGGTCGGCTCCTGTCACGTCTGCCGATTCGGAGGTCGGGCTCATGGGGGAGTCAGCGACAACAGCGGCGGCGGCAGCCTTGGCCGCAGCCTTGGCACGACGCTTCTGCTTCTTCCTGTTGACAGGCTGCGGCGGCTCGTGGGTGGACATGTCGTTCGGCGGGTGCGATGACAGAGCTTTCGTCGAGGAAGTGGGGGTTGATGGTTGAGAAGGGTCGGCTGAGGGCGGGCCCTTGGGCACGGTGATGATCTTGGAGCCGTCCTTATTCGTGTATCTCGCGGTGGCCTTTGCGTTGGGTGAAGCTGGTGCTTGCGTCGTCGCGGGATGGCGCTGGTTGGCGGGCATATTGGTAGAGAGCTGCTGCGACGGGGCAGTGTCGGTCGGGCGATACCATGGAGCAAGGGAGGGGAGAGTCCCAGGACCGGATCGTTTGGGGGGTAAGTCAAAGAGTGGCGGAAAGAAAGAAGACCTGCAGACACAGCGTCAGTTGTCGTGGAAGGGCATCGGCGTTGAAAGAGGTTGTGTTTGGGGGGGCAATTTGGGCGTCGGTCGGTTTGTCGATATCAGGCCCGCGGTCGGCGTTTGGGCAGGGGCCCTGGGGCAGCATCCGGCGAGGGCGAGATGGAGCCGACGTGAAGGTGGCGTGTACAGCCATGTCGAGCGACGAGAATCGAACGATTTGACGACGGGCAAAGGTAGGGCTAGAGGCGAGAGGTGCGGGCAGGGCAGGCGGCAACTCACGATGGGGGGTGGGTGGGAGGTGATTGGGATATGACGGGGGCGTGGATGACGAAGAGGCCAGACGCGGCACCCGGGGAGACTGACGCTGGGCGATGCGGAGGTAAGATGCTCAGCGCGCCGTGATGATGTTATGTATGTGGCGCGCGCGCGCTCTGGGGGGCGGCACAGGGTGTTGGGTCGGTAGGTGGTGTCGGGGCCTTTGGTGTTGAGGATGCGACGAGGCCATTGACGAGCGACGGGCTGGAGAAGACG